TCCCTTGTATTCCAAATAAAGTCATATCTCTATCAATAGGATATTTAGTGTGTCTGTCTTCTTACCAACCATTCCAGACCTGATTTTTTTCCATCCTTTCTCCTCTTTGCCATTTTGGAAGGATTGAAATACAACTTCAGAGCTGCTTCAGCTTATGCTTCTCTTATTATTAATGATTCAGAGCATTTTTTTCACATAGTTGTTGCTAGTTTGCATTTCTTCCTTTGTAAGTTATTGATATTCTTTGTTGAGGAATGGCTCTTGGTCTTTTATTTGCATCAATCCCCTTTAGATCTTGACTGTCAGACTTTCCCCCCTAATCCATAGTTTCTCTGTTGATTCTCTCTGTATTGATTTTGTTTGTGCAAAAACTTTGTCCGCTTGGTGTTCCTGAGAAGTCTCTCCTTACATAGATTTAGTTAGCAATAGTTAGCAATCTTGGGCATTTCTAGTCCTTTTTGACAAAGTGGTAAAGAAGAGGTCATTGGTGTCAGTAAACCCATCCATGAGTGTGGTTTGAAAAGTTTTGCAGATAGTGGAAAAACCCTGGAAAGTATTTAGGATAAGACATAATTATAACTGTACCAAGGAAAAACAGGCTGCTTCAGCCGCCCTCCCCTTCCTTCTTCAAAAATCTCAGGTTGCCAGGCCCAGCCAGTCTCATAGTTTGAGCCAAAGAAATTGTGGTTTGGGGTTCTTAGCTGTTATTTGAAACTTACTGAAGTTAATGCAGAAAAAAGGGGTGGAGATAAAGAAAGGGAGCAGACTTTTTTGTGATGTATATGGAGAAACTGACCTTAGATACACGGAGATTTCATTCTGTGTTGGGAGACAGCATCAGTCTCTGGGCCTTTTGTTCCATTGAAGCTTAGTGTGATAACAGTTCACATTCATATAGTGTTGTAATTATGGTTTATGAGGTTGAGCCAGTATTCTGTCATGGAGAGGGCGTTGAATTGGAGTCCGAGGACCTGGGTTCAAATCCCAGCCCTGCTACAGAATATCTGTGTGACCTTGGGCAAGTCACATCACTTCTGTAGGCCTAAGTTTCCTTCTTTGTAAGATGGGAGGGCAGCTAAGTGGTGCAGTGGATAGATTACCAGCCCTGGAGTCAGGAGGACCTGAGTTCAAATCTGGCCTCAGACACTTGACACTAACTGTGTGACCTTGGGCAAGTCACTTAGCCCCATTGCGTAGCAAAAAACAAAACAAAACAAAACAAAGATGAAGGGGTTGCACTGGACAATCTTAAGAGCCCTGTGAGCTGTGAATCGGAGACTCCTGTGCAGTAGGTGGGCCTTCGGTCCTTGTGGTTGATTAGAATGGGGCACTGGTATAGGAGGAAAGAGAAGTGCTTTGTTCAGCGCCTTTGGGATGTCTCCTTTTGGGTGCTCCTACTACTCTCTTCCCCTAAATAGTCTGTTCTTTTAAAAAGTCTTATTAATGCCTTTTGTTTTTATAGCACATTCATAATAATAATAATTAACTTTCATGTAGTACTTACTATGTACTGTGCTAAGTGCTTTACAACTATTTTCTTTTTTAAAAATTTATTTAGTATTTCATTTTTCCCCAGTTACATATAAAAACGGTTTTTAAATTAAATTTTTAAAACTCTGAGTTCCAAATTCTCTTTCTCTCTCCCTACCCTCCCTCATTGACAGGACACGCAATTTGATATAGGTTATACATGTGTCGTCATGCAAAACGTATCCATAATAGTTAAGTGGTGAAAGAAAACACAGACCAAAAAAAAAAAAAAATCCCACAAGAAAAATAAAGAAAGTAAAAAAAAAGTATGCTTCAGTCTGTATTCAGACACCATCAGTTCTTTGTCTGGGAATGTCTTAAGCATTTTTCATCATAAGTCCTTCAGAGTTCTCTTGGATCATTGTATTACCAAGAATAGCTAAGCCATTCACAGCTGATCGTCTTACAATATTGCTGTTACTTTGTACACGGTGCATTTCACTTTGCATCAGTTCATATAAGTCTTTCTAGGTTTTTCTGAGAGCATCCTGCTCATCATCTCTTATAGCACAATAGTATTCCATTACATTCATATACTATAACTTGTTCAGCCATTCACTCAAATGATGGGGATCCCCTCAATTTCCAGTTCTTTGCTGCCAGAACAGAGCCGCTGTAAATATTTTTGTACATATAGGTCCTTTTTCTTTTTTTTTTTCATCTCTTTTGGGATGCAGACCTAGTAACTTTATAGCTATTTTCTTATTGCAGCTTCAGAACAATCCTGGGATGATGATTATTATCCCTGTTTCACAGATGAGGAAACTGAGACCAACAGGGTGACTTACCTGGGGTCACATAGCTACTAACTGTCTGAGGTCCAATTTGAACTCAGGTCTCCCTGACTTCAGACGTCCTGTGCTCTATCCACTTAAATGCCTCGCTGCCCCATTCATTTCCAAATACACCCCTCTGCTTTTTAACTTCACCTACCTCATGAGTCATCCCTTGTAATGAAGATTAAAAAAAAGTAGCTCAGGAAAACTAATTGGATCTCCTGGTTCTCTGTAGCTAATTATTCACTCAGATGTCTCAATTGTAAGTGAATATGCTCAAGAAATATTGTGGTCTAATGGTTAAAGTTCTGAGCTTAGAGTCAGGAAGATGTGAGTTCAAATCCTGCCTCTGGCATTTACTAGCTTTGTGACCACTTAAGTGAAGTCACTTACCATTCCTGAGCCTTAGTTTCCTCATCTGTAAAATGAGAGGGTTTGAAGAGATGGCCTTAGGGTCTCTTCTAGCCAAGTCTATGATTCCATAAATAATGCATCTATACACTTGTAGATGTCTTACCATTTTTGAAAAACCCCATATTTGTATTTAGTTGAAGATTCTGTTGTTAGTTTCTAGGTCAGAAATTGAAAGGGTATATATGACTTTCCTTCCTACCCCAGCCCCTGCCCTAAGGATATTTGGGGGCTTCATTCTTCAACTACCAGGAGCTGTGAGTTCGCCAACCTCCTCAGTCCTTATGACTTCCACTTTCTGTCAGCCTCAGCTACCCGCAGTGATACCCTGGATCTCACCATTACTTAACCATAACCTTCTGTCCTTCCACGTGGCCTTGTGTCTTCCTCTAAAGACCATTCTTTGTCTTCATCCCGACCTCCAGTACCTCCAGCCCTCCCTGTTCGCTCGGTCCCTTCCCCCTTCACAACCTTCCTGTTGTTTTTAACCATTTCGTCCACCCTCAGACCCCTTGTTCCTTTCTCCTGTTACCCCTCTTGCTTTGCCAAACCCCGTCCTTGGCTTAGCCCACCACCATCTGTCTTCTGTGCTCCTGCATGTGTGCTGCAAAGTTCCATTGGAGGAAATAACACAATTGTGCTGACTGGGTCCACTACAAAATTATGTGACAAATCTCAACTTAGCCTTAATTGCTGCACAGAAATCTTTATTCTTTGCCATTTGATACTCTGTAGTACTTCCCATGGGGTTTGTTCTAAATCTTCTGCTTTCTTTAAGCATTTCCTCCTTTGCTTCAGACTTGGAGGAAGAGGTAGCCCTTCCTTTCCTTGTGGCCAAGGCCATCCCCTCTGCCTGGGCTGCCCTTCTTCCTCACCAGTAGAGCCCATCTCCTTTGCGAGCGTGCCTCTTTGGAAGCGTTTCTCACTTTCTGTCTCTCTCCCCCGGCTCCCTCTGTTTCTCCTTCTGTCTGTCCCGTGAGTATTTCAAACTCAGCCTGCTCTAAATGGAACTTATCTTCCTTAAATCCACTCCTTTTCCTCCTCCAAATATCTGCTAAAGACCCCTCCCTCCTCCTCCCCAGGCCACCGCCACGGTACCGTCCTCATCGCTTTCCTCTCTGTCACTGCTCAGAACCAGTCAGTTGTTAGCTCTCGCTGATTCGGTCTGCGCATCTCTCGTATCAGTTCCTTTCTCTGGACTTCCCCAGCTGCCCCCATAGTTCAGGCCTGTGTCCTCTTAACCATACTCTTACACTCTGATCTTCATTGGACTTCCAGCTTCCAGGCTTTTCCCTGCCTTGGGAAAGCCTCGCTCCAGGAGTCTCCACTGGTTCCCTCCTGCCTCGAAGACACAGTCTAAACTCCCGCTTTGGCATTTCAGGCCCTGTTCCCGCCTTTACGTGCAGCATCCCGGTTCCTGCCCCCATGCCTTTGTGCAGACAGGCTGTCCCCCCATCCCTCGGAGGTGCTCCTTCTTCAGCTCTGCCTCTTCGGGAGTCATTAGCTTCTCTCAAAGCTCTCGTTCCATGTGCCTCCTCCTACAGAAAGCTTTTGCTGGTTTCCCTCGTTGACATCTCCCTCTTCACATGATCCTGTTTGCCACAATCTGTTGCTAGATACAGTTCCCGTGGTGGTTGGTTTGTGTAAGGCTTTTGTCTGTTGGGCTGGAAGACTTCATAGGCAGGAGCGGGTGGTAGTATTTCCAGAAATGGCTGTGATATAAACAGTGAAAGGCATCAACGAAATGTTATTTTTTCTAAGGTCTTTAAGGTGGCACTTGATTTTGGTTTTATCATTGTATCCCCAGTATCTAATGTAGTGCCTGCATCCTGTAATTTTTGGGATGAATGAGTAGGAGGCTAGTAACAGAGATAGCCAGAATTCAGATCTGCTTTGGCATTGTACAGCTTTTATTTTTTTCAAATCAACCTTTCTAGTTTGTTTTATTGAGGCTGTTAAAATGAGTTGGCATTTCCTGAAAATATCCCCAGTGAGTAGGCCAAGGACACCTTAAAGCAACGTAAGCTGGGAGCCCAGCATCAGACAGGAGGTGGCTAAACCGTCACAGCCCTGGCTCTGCTCTCTCTAACTAGGTCACCGTGAAGAAGGTAGGCTCCCGTTCTGGGACTCAGTTTCCTGTCTGTAAAAACGCAGGGCGGGACTGAACGACCCCGTAAGAGCCCTTCCAGTTCTATGATTTTGTGTCTAATTCAACAGGTAGGTAATCGAGAGTTTGTCATGATAAACAATGCCAGGCCATGACACGTCTTCTTTTTCCCACAGAGTAAAGGCAGCCCAGACTGAGTTAGGGCAGCAGATCCTGGCTGATTTTGAAGAGGCTTTCCCTTCCCAGGGTACCAAGGTAACTCACATTGGGATGTCATCTTTTTGGTGTCATGTCAAAACAAACTCAGACACCTTACTGCTGTGCTTGCCACCTTTGATCTCTTGTGCACCTGACATTGGTCTGGGTTCCTAAAATGTTCCTTTCTGTCTAGAAGCCGGATGTCTTTTTGCTGCAATTTTGTCTGTACTGAATGTAGGATAGCCCTGATTCCTATAATTGCAAACTGAAGAATTGTACTGCCCAGTCTACTGTATGTCAAATCCTAATATCCTGGTTCCTCTTGAAATTCATTTTGCTCATGGCTGTATTTAAAAAAAAAAAAGTCATGAAAGGTTTGCCTCAGGCTAAAATTTCTTTCGGGAAAAGTCATCTACCTCTGATTATCCCCAAAGGAGGAAAAGACTCTGGGACAGAATGTCAGCAGTTTTCGATAGCATATGATGAGATAATGTCAAGATAATCATAGCCCTGCTTTGAGCAGCTGCCCTGCTGGAGAATTGTCTCCGGTAATGCATTTGTGTGTTTCCTGCATACAAGAAGCCTCCAGTATTCCAATGGTGGACCTCTGCCTTATTCTTCTATAGCAGGCATCCCTAGCTGTGGCTGTTGATTTGCTGTGGCGGCTTCTATTAAAGGGACCCCTTAAATTTCAGAAGATAGCATCGGGGTGTTGGAGGGAGACCCCTTAGAGGTATAATCAGCTCCCATTTCTCTGAGATATTTTTGGAGACCGTTGTTCAGGCCAGAGTGAGAATAACATTGGCAAGCAGCCTTCCTCACCACGGCATTGGTAGTCCAGATTCACTTGCTGGTCCAGGGAAAAGTTTCCTGGATCTGGTTTAATATTCCATAACTGGAAACTCCCTAATCATGTGCCTTAGTCCTCTGTGGATGTAATTTAGGATGCAGGTGTGGGTGTTTGGCCCAGCTCTGAAGAATCAACCTTACACCTTCTTTGGGCAGCTGTTGAGTACCGCTTCTGAGCGCGCTGACGTTTTCTGGTGGAGAATTCCTTCCCCATTGGGCTTTGTACTTATATGGCCCTCCACCGTGGGGGCCTCCTCATTTACTCACTGACAGTACCTGACTTGGCTTGATGTAATCCCTGCCAGAGGGAAACAGTGCTGTCCCTATTTCATAGATGAGTCATTTACTTGAGAATGCTTGACATGGTGGTGAAAAGAGGATTGAAATCCCTTGATTTTTATCCTAATCTTTCTATCTGCCCCCTGCTATTTTTCAAGTTTTGTTTTTATTTTTTTAAATAGCATATTGGCCAGCCTTAGAATGTCTTTTGTGGGGAACTGTGGCGTTTTGGAAACATGCACAACTAAAATGCCACTTTTGTGAGGCTTAGCATTTTCCCCCAAGACTGGGAAGCGAGGAGTCTAAGGAAGAAGTCATAAAGCCGGCCTGCTGCCTGCTGAGCAGTGGACCTGACTTGGGATGAATGTATGACCTTGGGGCAATTCTGCAGCTGGGCCACTAGGAGAAACCGAGCACATGGGGAAAGGTGATGACATTGGAGGCCAGAAGAGATCAATTCAGGTTTTTGGTTGTGTATGAATTTACTGTGGTACCTTAGAAATGACAGTAATAAAAATAGTTGGCATTTGTATTTGATAATATATCTACTATTTATTAAATATTTAATATATTTAAAAATTGACATTTATAAATATATAATACACAAAAATTTACAAGGCACTTTATAGCCCATTTGAGCCTTATGTTAATTCCAAAAGGTAGGTACTCCGTAGGTGTTATTGTCCCCATTTTACAGATGCTAAAACTGAGGCTCAGAGAGGGAAGTGACTTTCCTCATGTTCACAGAGCTCGTAAGTATTGGAACCAGGGTAGGAACCCAGGGCTTTTGGACTAGTCTAGCCCTTGTCAGGCTCTTTCTCTAAATAATGACGTCTGGTGAGAGAATAGATGTAATGCACTTTGCACACCTTAAAGCATTATAGAAAGGTTCACTGTTCTAGTTAATATTTATGAAGCAGCCTGACCTCAGTATCTCAGTGGACGACACTAACAGAGTCACTGAATGATTGAGTTGGAAGATGCCTCAGAGGAGAAACTGAGGCTTTGAGAGGGGACGGCTCTGAAGGGAGTTGTCCCAGAGGTAGTTGGAAAACCAAGACTAGAACTTAGGCCTTCCAACTTCAGGTCTGATGCTTTTCCTTCCATGTATTACTTACTTTTATGAAAGTTATAATGGATTGGAAGCTTGGCTTCAGACATCCTACTGAGAGGCCTTCCTTCAGGATACAGTGTTGATGTATCCTGCCTATCTATGACCCATTAAAAGCTTAGGGGGCCTAGATGGATAGTTCACCATTAGCAAAACTAGTGTTGTGGTTTGGCAGCCCCTCAGAGTTTAAGAGACCCCCTTTCCCCCCAGTGTGACCCAGATGTAGTGATTTCAGACTGGAGGATCCCAGAGGTTCAAGTCAAGTGGAAGGGGTCTACCTAGCGGGAAGCTAAGGTTATTCTATCGCTTTTAAGAATGCTGTTCAAACAACCTCAACATACTGGCTTCCGTTTTGGTTTTCTGAATGTCAGACGTCCCCCAGGCAGCCCTGGCCTTGCTTTCCCAAGCTTCTCCTTTCTGATTCACAAAGCAGTTTTGATGTTGGTTGGAAGAGGGGGGTGGAGGGGAGAGAGAGAAAGAAAGAGAGAGAGATAGGGAGAGAGGGTGAAGCGGCCGGGGGGGGGGGGTTCGTGAGAGAGACAGAGAGATTGTTTCATTGAGGAACAGATAACCAAAATAGCCCTCTACTGCAGAAGTAACAAGTGTAACAGAAAGACAGAAAAAGAAGGAGAAGCCGTCAAAGGCCAGGTAGTTTTTCAAGGCTTCTATTTGCTTTTATTATTTTGCCCTAGCTGTTGAACTGTTGCCTGTTGTTTGTCCTAACAGAGGCCTGGAGGCCCCAGCAATGTCCTGCGAGACGCATGTCTGGTTGCTAATGTGTTGGACCCCAGGATCAAGCAGGAAATCATCAAGAAGTTTATTAAGCAGCACCTCTCTGAATACCTGGTGCTCTTTCAAGAAAACCAAGATGTGAGTGGTGACCAGATTCCTCAGATGCTCCTTTTGGGTTTGCTTCGATGCTGATCAAGAGAGCCTGTGTCTATGTGCTCAGCCCCTCTGGGCCTAGTCCTTCCTTAGCATCCCTGACTGGTGATGTTGAATCTGTGAGCTACGAATGTGTGAGATCAACAACATGTAAACGTCGACTGTTCTTTCCCAGACTCACGAGTATTGGGGAAAGGCTGAGGGGTTGGCTGTGTTCCTTTTCTGTCTTTAAGCTGTCAGTACTGTCTGTGGGCACCAGGTGATTTTTGTTCTCCATCTTACCCAGGTTGCCTGGCTCGACAAAATTGACAGACGTTATGCCTGGATAAAACGCCAGCTTGTGGATTATGAAGAGAAATATGGGCGTATGTTTCCCCACGAGTGGTACATGACCGAGAGGATTGCTGTAGAGTTCTGCCATGTCACAAGGTGAATGATATAAGGCATGCCCTGAGTCTGGTGCTTCAGAGGACTAACTCTCATTTCGGGGGCTCCAAAGTGGCCCCAAGTACAGATTGCTGTCAGTGCGTGGGCTTTGAGCTTCTCTAACGTGGGTCTGAACTGAAGCCTCCTCCTCTGCCTCCGTGCGGCAGATTCCCTTGCCCATGTGCTCCTCTCTGTGGGTCTCTGCTTAGGGGCAGAGTCTTAGCTGGTGCTCGGCTGAGCTTCTCTCCTCCTCTAAGCCCTGGCTCCAAAAACATTTCTCTAAGAAACCTCAAATTACCTTCCACCCCAGGGGTCTTGGGTCTCCATCATTCCCACTCCTCATTGCACATGCGTTATGCTGTAACATCTAAATCTGTAGCACGTCTGGTTCAGACTTGCTAAGAAGATAACGGGAAAAATAAGGAAGGTCCTCGAGGATCAGGATGCTGGTTGTCTTAGCCTCTCGTTTCTTCCGTAATGACAGGCGGACCTTGACCCTCAGTTGTTATTGGCAGGTGATGGTAGTAGCTCAAAGCATTTAACAGATACCACGTGTCTTCACTGCATTTGTTGGGAGAGCCTTCATTAATTCAATGAACAGGGCCTCCTGCGTGCCAAGGACTGCACTAGGTGCTGGGGGTATAGAGATCAGTGAAATGGTCCCTGCCCTCAAGGAAGTGACTTTGTATCTATGGGAAACTACATGCATATGCTTAAGTGACTATAAAATATTCGCCAAGTCATTCCACTGTGTGTGTTGGGGGGCGGAGGGTGGAAAGATCAGGAAAGACCTCCAAGTAGATGGACCATGGCCAGGACAGCCTCCCACTGTGGGAGGACTGGAGCCCCGAAAATGGAGTCAGTACATCGGTGACAAAGCTGAGAACAAAGCTGCCAGACTTCGGGTCATCATTGGGTGGGATTAGTAATAATTGACTTACCTGGCTCAGAGCCTCAGAGGGCATGTTCAGACGCACACTGAGTAAGTCAAGTATTCAGTGCAGATAGAGTACAAAGCAATGACCCCTTCATGAGATAAATTAAAGAACCATTAAAAGGCTAGGTCTTACCTTCCGCCATGACTTTGCAGAGAGACGTGAGGGACCAGGGATGCGGAAAACCGCATGTGACGTCAGGCTTTTTCAAACTATCGGCTGGTTTTGCTGGCCGGGGTGTCTTCTTTTTTGTTCCTTGTTATAAAGCCTCGCTCTCTGGAAAGGGGTGGGGGGAGGAAGACAGTGGGGAATGAAGATGATGCCAAGAAGACAAAAGACCAGCCTCCTACATTATCCTGATGATTCCCTAAACACAACCAAAACGCTCCAGAACAGCTCAGATCAGTTCCTGTCTTTATTTAGATCCAGGCCGAACTCATCTCGATGTTTTAAAAAGCTTGTTGGAAAGCTTTTATAGAAAAAGGGATACTGGATTGGTTGTTGTGGGGGGCAGCTAGGTGGCCCAGTGGATAGAGCTCTGGGCCTGAAGTCAGGAAGACTGGAGTTCAAATCTTGCCTCAGATACTCACTAACACTGTGAGCCTGGGCAAGTCCCCGAACCTCTCTCTGCATCAGTTTCCTCAGCTGTAAAATGAGAACACGAATAGCACTTGCTTCTCAGTTTTGTTGTGAGGGTCCAATGACACAGTGCCTGGCACATAGTAGGGACTTTATAAATGCTTGCTTCCTTCCTTTCTTGAGAAACAATAGGGTGCTATGAATTTAGATATCAGTACATAGTTAAAGTGGGTGTTAACTTCCCTCTCAAACTTTGACTCTCGAGGAAGTGGGAGCTGCTTTGCTTCTCCTTCGCCCAGAGGCACACTGACAAGCAGAGTCTCTGGGAGGCTACGGGCCCACGGCCCTGCCAGCGAAGTCATCTGAACTTCCCGGCCGGCGATTGTTCTTCTGTTAAAGCCACAGCGCCTGCCAAGCTTCAATTGTTAGAAATCTGGCAAAAGGCCCTACAGATTCTTGATTCCCAAATAAACTCCCGACCTCTTGGTTTTGAGGTTTGTCATTTAACCCTTGAGGGAAGGTGAAAGCAGGTTAGCACTGAGGAAGCAGGAGCCAAGGCAGTGCTGGGTTCCAGGCCAGCCTCCTTCAGGTCCTTCCTTGTATGGGAGCTTGCCTTCTGCTTGGCTGAGAGAGTTCCCACGCTAGGAGTGCCCCGTACTGATAAAGCCACAGGTCATCCTACCCATGACCTGTGTTGCAGATGGAGCCTGGTGACCAAATACCTCTCTTATTTTGATGGAGGCCACATAAACAGATAGATGAATTATCACCTTTCATAGCGAATTTGGCACCTACAGGCCATTTTCATTTATCCCTTGGAGAGGCAGTTGTTTGAAAATAGTTTTAAGGGGGTTGTTCCTAGTTCAATATAAATGCCTTAGGAAATCATTTATGTGAGAAGCAGCATGTTGTACTGGAGAGGTGTCAAACACAAATAGAAACAAATCTACAACATAGTGACTTAGAAAACCATTAACTACCATTATCTGTGTTGTATTGTATTTCTGTTTATTTTATTAAATATTTTTGAGTCGCATTTAAACCTGATTTGGAAGTTAGGAAGGCGTGGATTCAAGCCTCTCCCTTTAAAGTCCCAGGCAGGTTGTTTATTAACCTCTCTGTGCCCCAAGCTAGAAGTTTCAGAACTGTTGCAAACAGTATGGATGAAAGTTTTCCTCACCTGGGACATCCCTTATACCAGTGAAAGCAAAAGTCTAAGCAAACAACAACAGCAGAACATATTTATATCTAGAAAGTGTAGTGATTTTATATATAACACAGTTATTTTTATGTAGTCTTCTGATTTCGTTATAAAGTGACAACTTACGAAACCATTGTCTGATTCATAATTCCTGATAGTTCTTAGTGTAATAATATCAGCGGAGGCAAAAGAGAGTAACTGGGGCGATCAGCGTTGACTGTCAAGTCTCTGATTGTGTGCTGCTGGCTTCTCCTAAAAGTTTTTGAGAGGCTCCGGTGCCCACTTGCCAAAAGCTAGACAACGGCTAGGACCGGTCTCAGCGATGGACATGCCCCCATGTGTTTTTCTGGTTTTTTTGTTTGTTTGTTTGTTTTGGTTAGGCAATGGGGGTTAAGTGACTTGCCCAGGGTCACACAGCTAGTAAGTGTTACGTGTCTGAGGCCGGATTTAAACTCAGGTCCTCCTGACTCCAGGGCCGGTGCTCTATCCACTGCACCACCTAGCTGCCCCCTCCCATGTGTTTTTCTGAATGTCCCCTAAGGACATTTGTCTTTTCCTCACAGAAGTTAGCTCTGACCTTGCATGGGAGAGGCTATTTTCATGTTGCTTTTTCTTTTTTCAAGGGTGGAACTTGCCAAGATCATGCGTACCCGAGCTAAGGAGATCGAAGTGAAATTGCTTCTGTTTGCTATCCAGAGGACAACCAACTTCGAGGGACTCTTGGCCAAGCGCTTTTCTGGCTGCACCCTGACAGATGGGGCCCTGGTAAGGACCAGGTGGGGAGGGGGCTTCTACATAGCCAGTGAGGCCAACGTTCTGCCTGCTGATAGACCCATATACCTCAGCTTAGAGGCCAAGAGGCTGAAGAGACTTTGGAGGTCATTGAGTCTAACCTTGTCGTGTTATCGCTGAGGACACTGACCCTCAGAGTCTGCCCATGTAGTAATGCCACTAAATTCTTGTTATTGAGTATTATATATTGAGTATTATTGGTCCTTTACAGAGAATGTCAGGGTTTTTTTTCCCAGGGTGGCTTACAGTCATTTTGATTTAAGTATCCTCCTCATTTTACAGTCTCGTGATTCTAGCAGCTGTAGACACTTTTAATATAATCACACATCTCTTTGGCCTTTAACCACACACGTACCCAATTTTATTGAAATTGTTTGAAAATTACAGGAGCAATGTTAATTTGAAAACTTCTGTTGGCCACCATTTTGCTTCAGGATGGCAGATTGAACCCTCCTGTCATAATATTTTAGAACTGGAAGTGGCCTTCGAGATTATGCAGTTCAGCCTTATTGCACCCTGGGGGGACCTGAGACCCAGAAAGATAAAGTGATTTTCCCAATGTCCCACATCTAGTTAAGTAGCAAAGGCAAGACTAGAACCTATATTTCCTACATCCTAGCTTCAGGCATTATCTGCTACATCACAAGGCCTTGAAGAGTCTTGAAATTCTGCCATTACCTGTGGGTGTTTAGGGAAGACTGGCACCTCTGGTAAGAGGGTTTGCTGAGACCTTTTCAAGGTTCATCTGCCACCCAGCTCTTACCTGTGACTTCAAGAACTTATAGCATGTGCAGCAGCCACACCACAGTCAACCATCTTGATAGAGAGGCTAAATCAGGTTGAGGGTAACCAGTGGGCCAAATGTGTTGGTGAGTTGGTGGGGGAGGTATCTGCTCCAATCATGTGAAGATGTCCCCAGGTGGAATGGGTGGATGTGAATAATTTGTTCCAGCAGCCACAAAGGTGGTAGAAGCAGGCTCTGCAGAGTGCTTAGAGCTCAGTTAGACATTGAAGACACCAAGGTGGTCCATTGCATCTTGAACCATCACCAGGTGTGTTGACTTTTGTCTTGCCACCGAACTTCAGCGACTCTGGAAGACAAAGTGAGGCCAACAACTTCATGCAACTCTACCTCACTTAAATCCAATCTTAGGTGCAAGTCACGATATCAGCCATACCATTTTACCATTTTTACCTCCCTCAGAGTCCTGTGGCGACAGACAAGTGACAAAGCAGCAGAAACACTGGGAGCTATAGTCACAACCCTACACACAGGCAGCCCAGGCCATAGTGTTGTCTTCTCATTGGACTGAAGCAGCAGTGGAATTTGGCAGCCCCAGGTGTCTAAGTAGCCTTTTTTTCCCCTAATTTTTCTAAGCAGCTTTTTTTAAAAAAAATTTTTACTAATTTATTTTGATTTATCAGCAATCACTTTCATAAGCTTTTGAGTTTTACATATTTCTCTCCCTCCCTTCCCACTTCCCTCTCCCACAGCACGAAATCTGATATAGGTTATACATATAAATTTCTGTTAAACATATTTTCACATTAGTCGTGTTGTAAGGAAGAATTAGAACCAATGGAAGTAACCACCAGCAAGAGGAAACAAAACAAAACAGAAGAAAAAAAAATAGCAAATAGTATGCTTCGATCTGCATTCAGACTCCATAGGTCTTTCTTTGGATGTGGATAGCATTTTCCATCATGAGACCTTTGGAGATGTCTTACATCCTTGCATTGCTGAGAAGGGCTAAGTCTATTAATGTTAGTCATCTCACAATGTTCTCCTGGTTCTCTAAGCAGCTTTTTTAAAGAACTGCACTGCTAACCTACTGATGTGAGAAAGGGGCTAGCAAAGGTACCCTGAAGATTATCTATTTCACCTAACCTAGCCCTGGCTTGTTTACTGTGGTAAGGCGGGGATCCTACCCTGCAATTGAAATACAAAAATACATAGAAAAACTTTTGTGAAGATGATTCCACTCACCTTTGGTACATGGAATGCGTGCACACTTATGGACAACATGAAATCCAGTAGACCTGAAAGACATCCAGCTGTTGTTGGGAGAGCACTCAGCAGGTATTGCTTCCAAATAGCAGCCTTGAGTGAAACAAGGCTGACAAGCGAAGGCCAGCTTACTGAAGTCGGTGCTGCATACATGTTTTTCTGGAGTGGCTGCAGTGATGGGGAGTGCTGTGAAGCTAGAATAGGTTTCACAATCCAAACTAATCTAGTCAACACATTTCTATGCCTCCCAAAAGAAGTGAATGACAGGCTCATGACAGTGTGATTGCCACTTTCAGGAAAGCATCACATTGTCATCATAAGTGCATATGCTTCCACCATGACAAACCCTGATGTGGTCAAAGAAAAAGTTTTGAAGACCTGGAGATCCTCATCATCATTGTGCTGAAAGAGGACATGCTTGTGATTATGGGTGACTTTAATGCCAACATAGACACAAATTGTCAAACATGGCAGGGAATCCTAGGATTCCTTGGGAAGAATAGAATTGGAAATAGCAACAGCAAGGCTACTTACTACTGAAGACTTATGTATTGCGTGACCTTCCATTTACCTAAATGCAATAAAACTGTGGATGTACCCTCACAGCAAATGTTGGCATTTAAGGAGAAGAGACAGACAGGATGTGAGAGTGATGAAGGCGATATATGGCACAGAGTGCTGGACTGATCATAGACTTATCCTCTCCAAGCTAAACATTCACATTGAGCAAAAGTGGTGGCCCCAAGACAAGACAACTACCAGAAGACTTAATGTCAGTTTATTAGCGTGCTTCTCCTAGTGTGAACAGTTTGTGAACAATTTGTTGCTAATTGGAGGGAAAGCTGAGCCAGCGCACAGTTGGCAACAGTGGAGCAGAAGAAGAGTGGACAGCTTTCAGAGATTTGGTGGACAGCACTGCATTTACTCATCTGGGCCAGAATACTCGCAAACATCAAGACTGGTTTGATGAAAATGATGGGGAAATTCAGAAGCTGCTAGAGAACTCCAAGGGCTTACCAGCGGGATCGTACATCTGTCTCTAAGAAGGCATCTTTTAACTCCAACCAAAGGAAAGCTTAGAGAGATGCGGGATTCTTGGCCCAGTGAGAAGGCAGATGAACTTCAGTTTTATACTGATAGTAACAATCCAAAGCGCCTTTATGATGCCCTGAAGGCTATTTGTGGGGCTAAGAGCTATGGTGCATCGAAGCCACTCAGTGCTGATGGAACCACCTTGAGAACATGATCCTGGAGAGATGGGCTGAACACTTCCATTGTTCTCAACAGACCGCCATCATTCAGTGCTGAAGCCATTGGCTGCACACCTCAGGCTGAAGTCAGTCGCTCTCTAGCCAGACTTCCCCGTGAAGAAGAGGTTTTGAATGCCGTTCGGTTCCTGTCACCTGGCAAAGCTCCTGGTGCCGATTCTGTTACAGCTGAGATTTACAAGGAAGGGGTCTACCAAACCAGACTGAAATTTTCCAGGTTATATGGCAAGAGGAGATTCTCCCCCTGGAGTTCAAGGATGCCTCCATTGTTCATCTCTATAAGGAAAAGGAAATAGTTGTCCTGTGACAACTATTATTAGTTGCATGCCCAGTTCGTTGATCTCTTCTTTCTCTATTTTATTCATGTAAGTATTGAGAGATATAAAACTTCCTTTAAGAACTGCTTTTGCTGCATCCCATAAGTTTTGGTATGTTGTCTCATTATTGTCATTCTCTTGGATGAAGTTAGTGATTGTTTCTATGATTTGTTGTTTGACCCACTCATTCTTTAGGATTAGATTATTTAGTTTCCAGTTAACTTTTTAGTCTATCTTTCCATGGCCCTTTATTACATGTAATTTTTATTGCATAATGATCTGAAAAGGGTGCGTTTACCTCTTTGTGACAGTCACAGAGAAGTCTCTCTTTTGCTGGAGTCCTCCTTACCAGGTTAATCCTTTACCTGGAGGATGGTCATCTACCTGAGAGCTAGTGTTGCTTCAGAAAGGGCTGGGTAACAGTTAATAATGATGTTTGCTGCCCGACAACTCCAGGAGAAATGCCAGGAGCAGAACAGAGGTGGCCAGAGAAGCTCATCAGTACTGTATGTCAGTTTCATGATGGCATGCTTGCACAGGGTCTGGATAATAGATGAAGCTTTCAGACTTTCACACTCACCAGTGGAATGAAACAAGGCCGTGCTTGTTCCCATGCTTTTTAGCATGATGCTTTCAGCAGTGTTGTTGAACACCTTCAACAAGGACAAAAATGACATCAAGGTCAACTCCCACACTGACCAGTAAATTATTTGACTTGAAAAGGATACAAGCCAAGACTAAAATGGAGGGAGAGTTGGTGCTCGACTTTTTGATTGCAGGTTATACACTTAATGCAGCCTCTGAGGCTGAGAGGCAATAGAGTGATTCTTTGCTGTCTATGCTAATTTTGGTCTGACAGTCAACAACAGGAAAACAGGTTCTCCACTAGCCAGCACCACACCAATCTGTGCATGGAACCATTGGTCACAGTAAATGGAGAGACATTGAATATTGTGGATAAGTTCACTTATCTTGTCAGTATACTTTCTATGTGCCCACATAGATGAAGAGGTTGACACACACGTTGCCAGAGCTAGCTCAGTGTTTGGGAAGGAAAGCGTGGGAGAGAAGAGGTGTTAGGCTGCCTACCGAACTGAAGGTCTACAGAGCTGTTGTGCTGACCTCATTGTATGCTTGTAAAACCTGGACAGTATACCAGCGCTATGCCAGGAAACAATCGCTTCCATTTTAATTGTCTTTTTTCTTTTGTTTTGTTTTTGTTTTTTTGCTAGGCAGTGGGGTTAAGTGACTTACCCAGGAAAGGGGTAGTAAGTGTCAAGCTGTCTGAGGCCAGATTTGAACTCAGGTTGTCCTGACTCCAGGACCAGTTCTCTATCCACTGCACCACCTAGCTGCCCCCATTTTAATTGTCTTAGGAAG